AGAATAATTGCATTATTTATATTCTATATAAAACAATAGTGGATTTAACATCAAAATTTAACTTCTAATGTAAAATGTATGTTTTTAATGTAACCTTCTCCCTTTAAATTCTTTGGTCAGTTCAAGCATAATTTATGCAGTTTTGTATTATTTATTTGAAAGAATTAAAGGAGCAGTTTCATGTCTACACTGTAAAAAATGATTGTGATTTTAACAGTAAAAGACTGTTAAAATGCTACAGTAAAAACCTGTTAACTGGTTAACAGTAAGTTTCCATACTATATACAGTGAATAAATGTAATTACATTTAATGTAATTTTACAGTAAAATGCTGTTAAAAATACGGTGTTTGGAAGTGAAAAAAAAAAAGTCATTGTATAATTTACAGTGAAAAAACGTAAATTGACACTCCCAGAATTCCCTGCATGACACTTCATATTTGATGTTTTTTTTGTTGAAATAACGTTGCTTCGTTTTTTCTTATTAGATGTGTACATTAGGGTTTAATCTTACATCTAATGTTGTTAAATTAATGTTTATTGCATTATTTCAGTTTCATGTGTGTCACCATGATGGGCTTTAGTGTTTGAGTGAATGACACTGTGCACCTTCTATATATAAGAACTACACTCCTCAGCTCGTAGAAAAGCTGTTTGTGATGAGCTTTGGTTCATCGTGTGACTTTCTCATCACCACCAGTTTTTGGTGGTTATCAGTGCATTACAATGGTTCAAAACAGATATTAGCACTTCAATGTGTTGGTTTATTAACATTACATCAGTTAATGAAATACGGCATTTTATTGTGAATTTAAGTTAAATCTGTAAAACCTAAAATGTTGCTACCATATTTTTTACGGTGACATTCTGGCAACCACAGCTGCCGGTATTTTACCGTAAATGTCACAGATTTTTTTTTTTACAGTGTATCCTTGTATTGTTCAGCTGGTCGAGGCTGACATGGGATTTAGAAAGTAATGAGTAATGCAATACTTTTTAGAGAGAGTAATTAGTACAGTAATCTAATTACACCGCTTAGATGTCATTTGTAACTAGTAATGAATTACTTTTTAGGGTAACTTACCGAACACTGTATATGACTTTGTTAAAATGAAACTTTTATCCTCGTTGACCTGTAGTACCTCTCCTACAGACCGGCTCAATCATCTTATTTCACATCGATCTGGATCAATCCTCACTGTGATGTATTGGGTCTGGATTGAGAGTTTTCAGATGGTTTACATTCAGTTCTAATCAGACAGCGATTCCAGCGAATCCTCCAGAAACACTTACAAACCAGACCACACGACAGACAAGCGCTTACATAGAGATTGTTCTAAAAAAGTTGATTTATCATTGAAAAGTTATACATTTACAAATATATTGATTCCTTTTTTTTTATTATTCCAAACCTGTTTGTGTCTTTGTACGTATAAAAAAAAATCACTCTTTGGGTTTCTCCGAGCCAAAAAACACCTCTGCGAGAAAGAAGACAGCTGCATAGCTTTGCTCAAAATCTGCCCGACTTTCACTGATTGAACCCAAAAAAACACACACACACACACCGAACACAAGACAGAAAACACACCCGACTACAGCTCACGATCAGGACACAAGTGCTCCCTTCATTCTCATAGGCTGGAGGAAGTACACCCTACAAATGACCTGGGCTGCGTTCAGAATAACATACTAGCATACTACACTCTCAGAAATAAGGTAAAGAACTGTCACTTGGGGTACCCTTTCAAAAGGTACTATTTAGAGGTAAATAAAGGTACAAAGATGTACCTTTACCTTTAGATGTACCTTTTAGCTTTTGTCTCTTACTGTAGTGCCCAAGTAACAATTTTGTACCTTTTTTTCTGAGAATGTAGTCATATTATGCCTGCGGTATTTTTTGTATGCATGAGCTATTTCAGTTACCAAAGATATACAGCACTCACTGTATTGAATACGTTATCCTACAATGCACTTGACTTGACCTTCCATTTACTGCGCGACAAATGAAACGGGAGTAATATCAACTATGATTTTTAACATTTCAATACTGTAAGAAAAAAAATCTGTAAAAAAGTGGGAAAAGGTACTGGTGATGTTCTGCCTGGACGTTATCTGTTAAGTTCACAGACATTTTCTTTAACCCTGAAGTACAACACAATGCAATGTATAATTCAAGATATGGGTAAATCAATAGGGAAAATTCTGGCCTATTAACACAGTGCACAGTGCCCTATTTTTACAGACTTTTCTCAGTGTAGTGACAGATGTTTGACAATTTTTTTTTTTTTAATGAATTTTAAAAATGTTCAATTTAAATTTTTGGAATTTTTGGTGGCTACTACACTCTAAAAAATGCTGGGTTAAAAAGGGACAAACCCAGCTATTGGGTTGTTTTGAACCAGCGGTTGGGTTGTTTTGACCCACCTATTGGGTTGTTTTGACCCAGCGGTTGGGTTGTTTTGACCCACCTATTGGGTTGTTTTGACCCAGCGGTTGGGTTGTTTTGACCCAGCGGTTGGGTTCAAAACAACCCAATAGCTGGGTTTGTCCCTTTTTAACCCAGCGCTGGGTTATATTTAACCCAGCATTTTTTAGAGTGTATGTAACATTCTGCTGTTTGAAATATTGTTACATTCTGCATACAGTGGCACATTATTTGTCTTTTAAAAAACAGTGTGTATGTATACTGCGCAGTAGGCAGTACACTAGTATTTCATTCTGAACACAGCCGCAGTTTCAGTGCATCTCTGAGGACTGAGATTTTCTAACGGTGAGTATCATCTAATGGTGTCTTCATTTTGGTGTTTCTCTCTGATTTATACTGCTTGTATGTGTGTATAGTTTTTCAGACGCAGTCTACAAGTTCCAACTCAACACTTCTGCTCTTTGGTTCATTGGCGTCAGACTGTGACGCACATGGCCTGAAGTTTATTATCAAGCAGTCCTGAGGACATTTTCTTCAGAAATGCGCTAAAAAACAAGCAGGTACATTTGATAAACCAGCCACAACGCATTTATGCTAACAATTTCTTGTTGCATTATTATTTGTATATGTTGCGTGCTTTTATACGTTTTTGATTCTAAGCAGCTGCTGAAAGTTAATTTTATATAATATTCATGTGGTTGTTAAAAAGTTGTTTTTTAATCTAAAATGCCTCTGTGAATGAACCAAAGAACAGAACATCTGTAGCTGTTTTTGATTTTAATGTTGCAGCGTTCAAACATCATCTATAATCAGGCCCACACCCAATCTGTGTCCAAAAATTTAGGCCGATTTATGACATTCACGTCGTGCTACGCCCTTCATATTTTCAATAATACTGCAGTACTCTCATATTACTCTCATAAATCAGCACACATAAAATGCAAAAGACGTCCACAGATTCTGCCTGGGCCTGAAACTACATCGTGATGCTGAAACCTTTGTCCTGAACCGTCTGAAGTCCAGTTCATCCTGAGTTGAGTCTCTAGCGAATGCCGTGATTGGTCGGTGAGCGGATGTGCCTCCGTGAATCTCTGGCAGTGAGGTGAGGAGAAGCTTTTCGAGGCACTCGCAGGGGAAACGGACTTCTGATAGGACTGGAGTATTCTGGGAACCCTGTTGAACAGACCCTGACACAGGGCTTCACCCTATCGGACGACGACCGTGTCTCAAGATTTGTGTTCCACTCCTAAAGCTTTCTGAGGGAGGATTGTGGGTACAGATAAAGTGCAAAATGGCTCAAAGCCATCAGAGAACTCAGTTTGTCAGCGCCGTGGTCCTCAACCAGTGGCTCGTGACCCAAAAATAAGTGGTTTTACAGTCAATTATTGGGTGCTGAGAGCATAAAACCATTGATGCATTATTAAAAAAAAAAAAAAAAAAAGAAACACTTTTTTTAATTGTAACCTTTATGTATAATGCATTATAAAGGTATTCATAATGTACGTTGTAATACATTCTATCTTTTCAAAAATAATTGCAAGTAAAGTTTTATTTGAAGGTTTGTCGTATTTTAATGCATTTTACTTTCTGAAGGTGTAACAATGAATAGAGAAGTATGATAATGTATTATAACTGTGGTTACAATTATTCATGAGATCATGCAATGCATTATAAGGTGCATTGAAAGGCATAATTAATGCATTCAAACTACTTTAATAATGCATTGTATATAAAGACTTGGTGTTACCAAAATATTTATGCCTAAGATTTATGTATTTGCATTAATTGCATAAAATTTCAATCTGTTTGGATTACACAGTTTTAACATAAAGTAATAACCTTAATGCAATAATGTAATAAATACAATGCATATTTGTCAGTCAAGCACAAATGAAACCGATAAGAAACAGGTAAGATTTCTGTAATAGTATTAATAAAAGGAATGTGTTTTAAAAACACAGTAACCAGGTTTATACATTTAAATGGATTTACTCCATTTGGAGTTTTAACAAAAACAAACTAATGAACTTGATTTAATGCATATTTGTCAGTCTTACATAAAGGAAACAGAGAAAGATGAAAATGAAAGATCACATTAAAAAAAAAAAGTGAATCTATTTGATTTTATTTAAATAATAATTTTTAAAATGTGTTTATTCAAATTGCTTAGAATCAGCACAGATCTGTTAATTGTGAAAACAATTAAGTTAAAATGAATGAAAATAGTTAAAATATGGCTAGCTGTGGAACAAGAAAATATTTAATTAGTTAAATTGTACACATTTTTTTGATTAATTAATGAGACATATATAAACCTGGTTATTGTGTATTTAAAATACATTCAGTTCATTAGTACTACTACTGAAATCTGACCTGTTTCATTTACGTTTGACTGACAAATTTTTATGTTAATACTGTGTAATCCAAATGGATGGACATTTTATATGCAATTCAAACACATAAATCTAAATTTAGATCTAAATATTTTTGTGAGTGCATCAATGTAACCAATTAATGCATTTCAGTGTTTGATTTTAAAGATATTTTTGTTAATTTTGTACAATAAATAATGCTTTTTTTTGATGAGCAAAACCAGTTGAGAACCACTGATCTGGTGATTTTGACTTTCTTTCTGTCGTTTGTTGTACCCTTCTCTCACGTCTGTTCTCACACTCTCTTCCTCCATGTCTTCAGATAATCTCAGTTCTTCTTGAAGAATGAAAAGAGGCGCTTGTCTCCGTCCGAGAGGCGATGTGCTCGTCTGGATGGAGCTCCTCCTCGTGACCCGCTGAAGGAGTACGGAGGATCCTTCCACTCCTCCTGGTGTTTATCCATCAGTTGTTGATCGATAACTCTGTGCATATCATCCTGCGGGAGAGAAACAGACATCAGGGCTTCATCTGAAGACAGAAGAGAGCCATCGACAGACAGACAGAGTGAGTGAGAATGAATGAACATGAGTCCTGCGACATGAAGGCTGTTTTCACACTTGTTTTACATTGTTTGGTCTGAACCAGAGCTCGATTCCCTTCCAGTGTTGTTATTATTTATTAACAAAACTAAAACTGTTAAAAATCAGTTTTGGTCATTGAAATAAATCTGAAATGAAATAAAATATAAATATTACATGACTAAAAAAACGTAAACCTAAATGTCTTAAACAAAAATTAGAAATGCTGCCTTGGCAACTATCTGAAGTATGAAGTTGAAGTACTAACATTATTAGAACTCGAATTAAAATAAAAATAAATTAAAGCTAAATAGAAAAAAAACCTGACAAAAGCACATAACAAAACCTAAAATAAAATAACAATAATAAAAATAAAAAACAAAATAAAAGCTAATTCAATCTATTAATAAATACTATAAAAGTAATATAATAATAAAATAAACAAATAAATAAAATAATAATAATAATAATAATAAATAAATTTACAAAAATACTAAAATAATAGTGTTTCCTTCTCAACATCAGCCTATTTTCACATTCAAGAGAAGACCCCAAAAAAATAACTAAAACTGAAATAAAAATAAAGCTAAACAGAAATATTAAAAATAAAATAAATTAGAAATACTAGATAATACACTTCATTTAAAAGGTTGCCTTGACAACTAACTGAAATAAAATAAGCTGAAGTTGAAGCACTAAAATAACAAAATTATACATTTAGCAGACCAGTAAGTGTTTCTTACCAGTATATATATATACACACACAGTTATATATATATATATATATATATAGAACTAAGAAAAAAATTACTGAATTTACTGAAACCTAAACTAAAACTTAAATTGAAAGTATAAAAATAAAAGCAAATTCAAAAATATTAATAAATAGTAAAAAAGTATATAAAAAATACTAAAATAATACTGTTTTTTTCACATTATCATTCAGAATACACCAAAAATATTACCAAAACTTAATCTAGAATAAAAATAAATTAAAACTAAATAGAAATATTTTTAAAAAAGCGAATAAAAGTGACATAAGCACGCAAAAAAACCTAAACTAAAATTGAAAATTGAAAATTAAAAAAAAGTAAAATATTAATAAATACTATAAAACTATATAAATAATACTAAAACGACACACTGCTGGTCTCTTTTCACAAAAGCATTCATGAGAAGACCCCAGAACGGTTCTAATCGTCTTAATGTTTGTTCTAGTGTGAAAATGCCCTGAAGAACAGGTGAAGAACCACAGCACCATGACATGAACGATGACCTCGTGACCTCGTGACCATGGATACGGGTTGGACGGTGAACCCGAGCTCACCTCTAAGGCAGGAGGGAGTTATCATAGGGGAGAAGGGGTCTGTATGGAAGCTGAGAAAGGCCACTAGATCAGAAACCACAAGAGCCACACAGTGAACAGCCCTGAGGAGGCAAACTGCAGGCGGGAGAGAGAGAAGGGAAGCTAAGAGTTAAACACACATTCACGGGACGCGGGTGAGAAAGAGCGACAGAAGTAGAGTTCATCTCTGATTTAATACTGAACTGAGAGGAACAGACGACACACGTTCATACACTCAACAAAGAGTTCAAGTCAACATGACTCTGTCCAAGCAACCCATGCCACATCAGTAATGTGCTGCATTTCTCCATCAGGGATCATTTTGCAAATCTATCATTATATGATTATTGCTGTGATCTTTATAATATGAACGTTAACTGACGTTCGTTTAGCAGTGATAATATTTTACTGCTGCAGTTCTAATATTTTAGAAAGGTCGTCATGTACAAAAGTCAAGTTTTGTCATGAGACAACGATTTTTATCAGGACAAACTTTGAAGGACTTATTTTAAGAGATGGAGCCACAATTTTATCACAAGCGCATTTAAAGATTCTTTTACAGAGTTGTATGCGGGTCAAAGATGAGACGTCCCATTTTGATGTTCACATAAAATTAAATTTACAAAAGTATTTTATATACATAGAAAGCATGTTAAATGCAAGTAAAGTGTCTACTTTAATGTGTATAACTTTTGCAAATAACAAATAACTTTTGTGGGGGGAAAAAAATCTAAATATGCGTGAAATAATGTTCCATCGTCATTCAGAGTAACAGATTTATTTATGTAAAAATGAAACAATATACTTATTCTGGCCTGTACTTATTAAAATATATATATAAGAAAAAGACTAATACTTAATGTTATTATATTTTAAATGATTACAAATTTCTTGCTGACAAATGGGTAAAACCTAGTGGTAAAATATAATGATAGTGGCAAAGATTGGTAAAGATTTAAAATACAATTAATTAGTATTTTATTAGTTTATGAACTATTGTTACACTGAATGACATTTTAGTGGGTGTCTTCAGTAAATCGAGGTAAGAATGTATGATAGTCATTATTTTTTGCTCTGAAAAATTAAAATTAAACAGGACACATTCGAATGTATGGGGGAAAAAACTATTTAAAGCGGTATTAACCTTTTGTTGTTTTTTTCATCTTTGGCCCATATACAAAATTGTCTTTTTTTTCTAAGTTCAATGTATTAAATGTTTGTATTTATTGCCTGTGAGACTGATATTGCTATAAATATAAATACAACCAACCAACCAACATCATGTACAATAGTAGCCTGAAACAATGACTAAACATATATTTGATTATTAAATATAATATTTGATTATTGCTTAAAATTAACATGAAGAGTACAGTCTAGGTGACGTCATTTTAGTGCACATTTTGATTTTTGAAAATAACAAAACATTTCTTGTGTTAAAATAGCGTGCATTTATGAATTGTGTGCTGTAAGATAAGTCAATAAGGTCAGTGTTGACTTCATGTTGACTTTAAACATAAAAGGCAAAAGGAGAGAAAAGCAGACAGAGAGAAAGAGGCTGACCGCTGCTATTCATTACAGTTCAGCATCATAAAAAGCTCATTCACTGCTACTGAGGTCAGTGTTAATGAATGTCTTTTCACAGAACGAGGGTTACCATCTTATGTTAGCACAAAATGACATCTTCCGCAATGCTTCATGGGATGAATAGTTAATGTATTTACCTATAATTTGTATTTTACCCTATAATTGACATCTTTTACCTTGCATTTGTTTCTAATATGCATTTTTATTTTCTAATACAGTTTTGTAATGTGACTGATCTCAGAGCTGAAACACTCAGATGCAGACTTGAATGCCTGACCAAGGCACGGCAAGCATGCAGCCCTGATGAACTCGACCTTCTGATCATGATGTCCACTTTCTTTGACAAAAAGCCATTTTAAATCATTCAGGATATGACGTTACAACCAAGCCACCATTGATTACTTTTGACTCTTACCCTTAAATAACACAAATTCAACCTTTCAAAGAAGGTGGTGCCCCAAGTAATATTAAAAATGATCTTCTATTGCAAATTCATAATTTCAGGGAAAATGGATTTGTTAGTAATTTTAACAGGAAAAGGTATGTATACAAATGCTACAGTTAAAACTTGTGATTTTAACCTTATAAAAGTTATAAGTTAACTTTATTAAATTAAGTCGCTTTACCATATATATATCTAAAATATATTTTAAAAGACAATATATGTAATGCTTTTAGAGGTATTTTTTACAATAACGTTCTAGTAGTCAGTAAAGTCAGTGTTGTTTTAGTATCATTGATATACTATTATAGTTTTTGTTTATATTTGAATTATTATTTTTATATGTCCTGGTTTTATTTTAATTTTAAAAAAATTTAAATTTTTTGTGTTTTTGTCATTTTTAATTTAAATTTTTATTTTTTTGTCATTTTTATTTTTTTCATGTCTAGTTTCTATAAAGTTTGTTTTTCATTTAGCTTCTAGCTGAAATAAAATGTTTAATTTTTATATTTTATTTGCTTAACCTTATTAAATTAAGCTGCCTTACCATATATAAAGAAAATATATATTATATATTCCAAGACAATATATGTAATGTTTTTAGAGTTCAGTAGTCAGTGTTGCTTTAGTATCATTTACATACTATTATAATATATAATTTTTATAATTTTGTTTATATTTGAATTAGAATTTTTTTATATATTCTGGTTTAATTTTAAATTGTTAGTATTTTTTGTGTGTTTTTGTCATTTTATTAGTTTTTTGAATGTCTAGTTTTTATGCGTTTTTTTATTTTAGTTTAGTTTCTAGCTGAAATAGAATGTTTAATTTTTATATTTTATTGTAATTTGATTAACCTTATTAAGTTAAGCTGCCTTACCATATATAAAGTACATTATATCTTTATATTTTCTGTAAAGCTGCTTTGCAATGATTTGCATCGTGAAAAGCGCTATACAAATAAACTTGAATTGAATTGAATATCTTACAAGACAATACATGTAATGTTTTCAGATTTATTTTTATTTTTATTTTACAGTAAAGTTCTAGTTCAGTAGTCAGTAAAGTCAGTGTTATTTTAGTATCATTAATATACCATTATAGTTTCAGTCTATATTTGAATTAGATTTTTTAAATATATTTTCTGTTTATTTTCATTTTAAACTTTCTGTAATTTTGTGTATTTTATCATTTTTATTCGTTTTTTTAATGTCAAGTTTTTATATATAAAAAAAAAAAAAATTATTTAGTTGAAATAAAATAAGTTTATTTGCCATAAAATTTTACTTTACTTAATGTTTATTTTAGTTAATAATAATAACCCTGGTACTTGTGTTATTATGATGTATGGAATTTCTCTTGTTTAGCTAGTGTTTGCATTCACATTTTATTTATTATTATTTCTAGATACTTCCAGAAACCCAAACTGTTGAAAGAGTGCACTTTATATGCACATCAGCTTTTTGACGGACCATTTTCTTTCAGGCTGATCTGATCTGAGGTCAGAGGTGTTTCGTGTGCACTGATGTGTGTGTGTGAGTGAAACCAACCTGCCAGGCTTCTAACTGCTGAGACAGGTTGAGTTTCTGCTGTATCGCATCCAACAGCTGACTGTTCAAAGACATGATGTCTATCTTACACTTCGCCAGCTCCATCTCCACGGCTTTCTTCCTGTAACAGGGAAAAGAAGAGTTACTAGAACAGCATCTGAGGTTAATGTTACAGGCTGCAGAAACTAAAATAATTTTTCTGAGATTAGACATGTTTATTGAACTCAAGACATCTAAAGGATTATTCTCTCTCTCTCTCGGTCTAATGTAACTGTTCAAAACTGCAGAAAATGACCCTTTTGAGATGTTCTCACAAGGAAAATTAGTTCATAAAGATACTGAATAATGTCTTTATTCCCATCTAAAAATGAAAAGAGTTGTATTTTAGTGGTTAGTGGTGTTAGTAGTTTTTAGTTTCATTGCTATATGCAGTTGCTCACTGGTAAAATAGTAAATCTGATCAAGTCACAACTTGAGGAACTATTCACATCTGTAGCTGTGCAGAATGAGCCTTGTGAAAAACAAGTGTGCTTAATTGTATTGAATGTGCACTTGTAATAAAAAAAGTTAAAAACTTTACTTCCAGATAATACAACATTTAGTATTTTCTGTACAGTGAATGGCACGTAGTGCACTATATAGGGGACAGGGAACAATTCAAACAGTGTAAATATGCTTTCCATTGAGGAAAAAATGAAGTCTGGTTTGGCGCTGTGTCACGCAAACCACCGCACCGCACACACACTCTGCTCCGGTCCAGAGACACGATAGCACGGAGCGGATCACATGCGCGAGTCGGCGCAGACCACAAAATGTATCGGAGCTATTTGAATTCTACACAAAATGCTATATTTTATAGCAATATGGATGAGATTGTGGCTGGCATACCCTGTCAAATGCAGCTTTACGG